TTGGCCTGGTGGACAGGTGGAACGCGGCCGTGGCGGCCAACCCCGACGCTGACTACACTTCAGAGGAGTTCACGCAGCCCATGAGGTGCGGCCATTGCGGGGCAGGCATACTGCATCCGCGCCAGTGTTGTGATGATGTGATTGCTGCTGTGTGTGTGCTTGTGTGTGTGTGTTGGTGTGTGTGTGTGTGTGTGTTTCTGTGTGTGAGAGAGTTGTGTGTGGGTGCTGGTTTGTTTATGTGTGCGTGAAGGGGGCAACACTGGCTGCAGGCATGCCGAGTGAATGTCGGTCGGTGGAGGCAAATCACCGCAATGAGATCATGTGTATGTAACATGGTCATGCTGTGAATTACCTCGTCACATCCCAAAGCCCTTCTGCCAGCACCTGACACCGCTCCTGCATCCACCCTTCGCACACACCCCTCACCCTTGCAGCCTCTGGTGGCAGTTCATTCCCTACTTCCTGTTGGGCGCAGCTGAGACCTTCACCAACGTTGGTGAGCATTGGGGGCAAAAGTCAGTAGCAGAGTAGGGTGCTATCCCAGCTGCCGTCTGCTGGCAAGTGATGAGCACGGTTTGCACTGTTTGCAAAAGAAAATCAAAATTGTTCAAGTGGCTGCCACATCCAGCGCTGACGCATGGTGTGTTGACTGTTTCGTGCCGTTTGAGCATGATTTCAATCATGTTACAACCATTAACAATCGGCCGCTTGCCCCCCACCCCCCCACCCCAGGCATTCTTGAGATGTTCTTCACACAGGTGTCCGAGGGCATGCGCGCCCTGGGCGCGTCCTTCTACCTCCTGACAATCGCCATAGGCACCTACCTGGCCAGTGCCCTCAACATCATCGTCGCCGCCGCCTTCCCCAGTGAGCCCTCATGCACGGCACCTTGGACCCGGTGCCTCACTGCTGCACTGCTTACTCGCTACTGACGTCGGCATGCGGCAACGCCATGTCCTGGCCGCACATGCCGGTGTGCTGCCCTGGCATATTGCATGTGTCCATGATCTAACTCACCTACGTGTCATCGACCTGCTCATTGCCAACAGATGACCTTTGGGTGGCCGACAACCCCATTTTTGGTCACTATGATTACTACTTCTTCCTGAATGCTGTCATCATGTTGTTGGGATACATCGCCTTTTTGCTGGTCACTCGCAACTACGAGGAGAAGCCTGTCATTAATGCTGACAGGGTGAGTTGTCAATAGCAGCCGGCAATTTGGGCCTTGCAAAGTTTTGTCTCCGCCCCCTCAAATCAGTACATGGGCCAGGCATGGTTGGGCCTGTCAGCATATCAACCTCAGCCAGCTGTTTCTGCCATGTTTGCACAGCCCGTCTGGCCTAGCACAAAGAAGGGCAGCAACCCAAGACTCCTATGCGGCAGGCTCCACAACCTGCACCCGGTGCAGAAGAAAGTGACTTTCCCCTCCCACCCATGCCTCCCTTTGATCCTGCCTTGACCTCACGGACTTGCTTGATGTGCAGTTTTGTCCAATTGCCTAAACCACTCACCCTGCCCTTGAGGGCCTGAGCCTGAACATTTCCAAAAACGTTTGCTAACCCCCACCCCACCCCCACCCCCATATATCAAACTCCAGGACCCCCTGAACACGGAGACCCGGACCCACAGCAACCTCTCAAGCGCCTCCCGCGCCTGGCCCAGCGCGGCCAGCCGCACCGGCCGCGCCATCGAGCTGAGGGCACGCTCCATCGAGTCTGTCGCCCGCATCTCCCTGGCATCAGCCGGCGGCAAGGACGCCAGCCATGTCCCTGAGGCTGGGCTGGTGTCGGGGCGCGGAGAGGCATGAGCACGTGTGGATGTGAGTGCGCGAGCATTCATCTGGCGCATGCACACGTACATATGGTGCATGCTGTGCTCGCTGTGATTCGGACGGGCCAGCGCAGAGACGCACGACCTTGAGAGGAGGGTGCGGCTGCACCAAGAAATCTTGCTGGCATGTCAACACGCGGGATTTGTGGCGTTTGCAGTGTGCAGGAGTTTGCGCCTGGCGCGTCGGTGCATACACGTGCACGCCTGCAGGCAGCAATGCGTGTTCTCTTAGATGACGCAAATGATGCACCCCATCTCAGCCTCCTAAATGCATGGTTCTCCAAGCCTTGTTGCCGCATGCCTGAGCTCGTGCGGCTGCAAAAAAACGCGTGGTGCGACACGGCTGCTCTTGTCCCCGCCTGTTGAATTTGGCGTGGCACAGGGACGCCGCCTGCTGCCCATGGCACATATGAAGCCCTGGCTTGCCACCTTGCTTAGACCTGGATGCGATTCTGTATTATGCGGCACTGTGACCTGGTGGTTTTGGGTCCTGAATGGCTCTTCACTTGCGCCTGTGCCATGCGTTCTTCTCCTTTGTCACATGCAAGATTGGCACAGGGAGCTGTCTATGAACAGCATTATCTGTGGTGTGCAAGGCAGCACTTGTGCAGTACGGATACTCTTGACCCTTGGAGGAGGTATATACCTTGATGGCTTGATTGAATTACACCGTGGTGTATGCGCTGCGTGATGCACCAGAGCATTCGCCTTCAGCATCCTGTTGGAGCGACAAAGGAAGTGCCCAGAGGCGCTTCACACCACCGCTCTGTCCACAGCTGCGGTCGCTTCTGATTTGGGACGTACAGTCTCCTCAGGATCTTCGAGCATGCAGGCTTTTCTCCAGGTGTGGATGCAGTGCTAAAAAGGTCACCAGATCAGCACACGTGCTGATCAGCACTTGCCCCGATTTCGTGTTGTCGTTTGCTTGCGCAATCACATAGCACTGCGCGCTAGGTAACACCACCACCACCCTTGTAATTTTGCTTGCTAATGGTTGTGTAAGGCATGTGGCGCGTCAGGCTGCCATGACGTGCAACAGTGATGAGGTGAATCCAGGGTATTCTCAAAAAGTAATTATACCAGCAGTGTACAAACGTACAAAGTTGCTGGTTGTATGCTAGCGGGTGACTGGATGATGTGAGAGATGACCAAACCGTGAGCAAATGATTGTTGATTCACAGTCGCGTCTGTTGGTAAGTAAATGATGTTAGAGATGTTGATGTTTCGGTGAGCAGACTCCGCTGGTCTCAGCCAGGCATTGCCGCAGGTCGATCAACGCAGAGGCTTGCTGAGTCAAAGGTTGGTCAACATACAGAGATGCCACATTCCTGCCAAGTGCATTGCATAGGTCATGCAGCACTCCAGCCAAAAGTAAAAAACTAATCTTGTTCTCTCTTTGATAAGGTAACCATGATACTGGCACTGGGTAGACACTGCCAGTTTGTTTCTGAAACCCGCCGGCGCAGCAGTTTCGTTGCGTGGAGTGGCACTCAGTGCTAATCAGCCGTGAAAGGCAGTGCATTGTGTGCAGCTCACTCAACAATTGTTAGGGGCCCCTCTGCGCGAAACGAAACAAGCATATGATCTGTGGAAGAAGATAACCTTTTATGTCCCGTTCGCACGCGCTTTCATACATTTTGTCGTTGTCCAGCGGCCTCCTAGCACCAGACTCTCGCTGATTGACAAGAGTGCCGCGAACACCTGTAGCAGGCAGCGGTGCTCATGGGGCTCAGCCTGGGTTTACAAGGGACCCGAAGCCTGTCGCTGAGGCAGCCTGCATACCGCGGCGGCGCAGCGGCAGGGTCTAACTCGTGCCCGCTGCTGCTGCCGAGCGCGTCCCACGTGGGCGCGCGGGGTAGGGCCGTGCGCGCAAATTATGTCCGGAATGAGTGGCGCCCAGTGATTGGTGACGAGCAGCTGGTCATGAGCAACATGCACGCCCTGTGTCAGCTGGGCAAGCGCACCGGCGAGGTCGCCGCGGTGGACGCGCTGCTGGAGGAGCGGCCGATGCTGCTGCAGCTGCAGGTGCACAACTGGCTGGACTTCCTGACGGCGTACGGCGTGCGGGTGCGTGCAGCGGGGCAAGTGGAGGATAATCAAGGCTCAACAACGCGTTTAGGAGCATGCACCAAGGGGGCGATGGGCACTCGAGCGCATGTACAGGCGGCGCGTGAGATGGCAGCGGCTGGGACGTGCGGAAGCAGCCCCGTTCCTGTTCACATTCGACGCTTCACGTCGATGTGAAAATAGTGATAAGCACACACAGCCACCAACATGCGTACCGTCACATAAAACCCCAACAGGAGTGCGATATCATGAAGCTGCTGCTGACCACGCCTGACGTCATCGAGCGCAGCAACGTGCACTCAGCCGGCATGGTCATCCTGGCGTTCAAGCAGCTGGTGCGCAGGCGTCGCGACGGCACCAGCAGGAAGGGGAGCGGGACCGCTCATTTGACAAAATAATTGACGCCCTTGCTGGCCGTGTTGTCCGCTTTCTCTGCCACCTTGTCACCAACCACGACTCTGTGCACAGGTGCTCGCCTTGTCTGCGCCAGTGTCTCCCCAATGTATAAGCACCAAATCCCCCCTGCTCTTATCGCGTTGACTTCATGTTTGACCCAGTGTCTCCCCAATGTATAAGCACCAAATCCCCCCTGCTCTTATCGCGTTGACTTCATGTTTGACCAAGGGCTGGACCGACCACCATATCGCGTCGCGCCTGGTGCCGCTCTACCCCCGCCTGCTGGCCAACAGCGTCGACAAGGACATGCAGCCCGTGGTGGAGGAGCTGGCGCGTGCGGGCTGCAGTGGCCAGCACCTGCGGCTGATTGCGTGGGAGGTACCGAAGATCTTCAGCCGCCACACCTTCCGGCGCTACCTGCGGCAGTTCCAGGCGCTCGGGGTCTACGGCCTCAGCCGCGAGCGGTGCGCCAGCAGCCGCATGGTGCACGCGACGATGATGCTGCACCCCTTTGGTTAGGGCGCCCCGCCGGGTGGCACGGACGCGCCGCCTGAGCACGAGCCACGCGCTTGCGTGCCTCCCTTGTATTCTGCACGCATGTTGTATCTGGTCTTCTGCAGTCGCCACCCGGGTGGTTGCCAGGGCACCTTTGGTTGGGGGCACGTATGTCGGCCGGGTCCTGGCCCGCCATGCTCCCTGCCTGCGACCCGTCTCCTCAAGGCGCGCAGCGAGGGTTTAGCGCCCCATCTTGGGCGGCTGAGCCCACATACCTGAACCTCCCAGCAGTCACAGCTCGTGGTCGTGATTGCTGTGTTGTTGATTGCGCTGACTGCGATTCCATATGGCAGGTTTCCTTGTTTCTTATTTGGTTCAATCGTGGGGACAGCCTTTGCTTCCCGTCATGCTCGTGCGCGGCAACGTGCTATGGTGCATCCCTCCTTGCCCAGGGCTGCCCCTCCAAGAGCCAGCTATCCCACTCTCAGCGCTACCGCCCGGTTTGCTCCTCGGCTCGCATTGCCGCACGCGTGTGCCTTGATGGCGGCCCCTGTACCCTCACAGAGCTGCATTCATGTTTTGTGTGAGCCAGCCACACTTGTACATTGACCTTGGGCGTGCGCCCTCGTGGGTGCGCACCACTCCAACTCTCAACTGATAACATTGCGCAGCTGGCGTCTCAGCACACGTTGACCAGGCAGGTTACCAGCCTCGCATTATTGGGGGACATGCCCACACGCAACACGTCACAAGCCGAACTGTTCAAGCCGCCGCCGGCGCAACAAAGCGCGGAGGTGCGCCCAATGAAGGGCGAAGGCCAGTCTCGCGAGGGAGCGACTGCTTGGTCGCTGCTCTGAGATTCTGTGTTAAGCCGGTGTCAACAACAAAGGCGCTCGACACGCACACGAAATGCGCTCACAAACGCATGGGCAGATGGGTAGATCCCAGACCGAGGAGGCTGCGCTGCAGAACGCCACGCTGCTGGCTGCTGCCCCGCGCTCCTGGTGCACCGGCCGAGGGCTACTGCTGCAAGTACGGATCGAAGCAACAGCACTGCAGCCCTGGGTCACCCCAACTGGTCGCCGCTCTAGCCGGAGCCGTCGCCGAACTTCTTGCCGAACATGATGAGCTGCAGCTGGTCGTAGCCCGACAGCACGCCGGCGCCCGCCACAGCGCGCAGAA